ACGCACACACGCACCAGTTATACACTACTTACACAGCTCAAGATGCACTATACAGATTTTCGCTACTACAGGTGACTAGTGATTCTGTTACAATGTATTCAGAAAATATTCAGAACCCTTCTCTTTTTTTTTACATTTTATTTAGCAACCTTATGCTAAAAAAAATTAAAAACATGTCACACCAGTTTACACTTCATACTCCATAATGACAAAAGAAAAACAAGATTTGTGATAACTTTGCGCATTATAGGGTTTCTGCAGGTTTATGAAGGTAAATTTAAGACTTTTTAAGACGAAGTACAGAAAATTTAAGGAATAAATTGAAGGGAACAAGATATGTCAATATGGTCTCTAAATGTAGATGTCTAGTGAGCAGACAACGATGTGTATTAGCAACACTTCAAAGTTTTAAAATACAAGTCCCAATTGATCTTCATTCATTTTTAATTCATTTTAGAGAGAAAAAAAACGTATGGCTTAAACAGCTCTGGTCTCAGTCACTAGAATACAGAAATAACTTTTACTCTACCCTGTGAACACACTGCAAAAAAGTGCTGTTCCTCAGTATTTGTGTCTTGTCTTCCAGTGCGAGTGTCTAAAGATTCTTAAATTAAGAAAAAAATGAGATAAGCAGTCTTGCTTTCTGTGAAAATGATCAAAACAAAGTGTGTTTATGAATAAAACAAGAACAGATATCTGCCAATTGGCTCAGAAAAATCAGCTTAATTCAAAGGGAAAACTAGTGTTCATTCGCTGGAATGAAATTGTGTTCGATTACTATTATCTTAACCCTGCTTTGTGTCTGTATTGACAAAAGCCATTGTCAGCCACTAGATATACAGTTATGGCCAACATCATAATAATTACATAATATGTACAGTGATTCTTTCTGCAAGTTACATGGCAGCAAGAGACTGTCTTGAGTGAGTCATTGAATCATTCACTCAACCAATTTGTTCAAAATCACTGATCATTCAGGAACAGATAGAAATGTGCAACAACTGAAATAGATACATCAACAAGAATATCTGTAATTATGTGGAAAGATACATTTAACTGTTATTCAGCCCTGCTGATATACACAGATGGATCCAAGTATTGTAAATATTAGACAGTGTTTCCCATTAATTACTCTAATCTGTCCTGCCACAGTTTCATAATGGATCGAAAATATATTTACACTTCTCATAATATCATAAATGATCACTAATGTTGTATTTTACGCCATTGCTTTGGCGTAAAATAATCAAACTAAAAATCGAAATCGTGATATGGGTTTGTGCACTTATCAAATGTGATTTATTTAAATAAGCATATACTGTAGTATACTAAATTCATGTTTTAAAGTGAAGGCCATCAGCTCATGATCTTGTTCATACTCAATGCAGTGAACTCCATCTCTGTAAGTGCTGTGAGTTTAAAATGCTTTTTGGAAGCATAATTTCCAACATTTTTGTGGACAGATGATGATGAATTATTAACACAATTAACGCGCCCACCACACCCAGACCTAAGTAGGTCATCTTATTACATTTCATACAATTAATTGATGATGAACATGATGAAGGTCAACAGCTCACTGCGTGATGTAGCCTATATATGCCTCTAAAATTCAAGAGATTGGGGCAAAAACACCCCTGTATATGTCAGACCTATGTCCTGTCTTGTGTTGTTGTTTTCTGTCTATGTGCTCCCCAGGACTTAGTTTGGTTACACTTTATTTCGATAGTCCACTTTAGACATTCTACTAACTATAAGTAACTTTGTAACTACATGTCAACTACATGTCAACTAATTCTCATTAATTTGCAACTACATGTCTACTAACTCTCAGAGTAGACTGTTAGGGTAGGTTTAGGGTTAGTAGAATAAGTTGACAAAGAAAGTGTTAGAAGATAGTCTTAAGTGTTAAGCAGACAGTCTACTAATACTCGACTAACTGCTAGTTGACATGTAGTTACAAAGTTACTTACTGTTAATAGAATGTCTAAAGTGGACTATCAAAATAAAGTGTAACCTATTATTATTTTAAAAAGTTAAAAAGCTGCTTACCACAATAAATTACCATAATTAAAAACTATTTTAAAATGTTTATCATGACTCTTCATTTATTTATTCCTTTAACAATCACATTTACATACATTTCTCTGCACATTTTGTTAAGTTTGTTAAGTAACAGTAAGTGGAAGCCTATAAAAAGGGCCGCCTCCAGTTTCCCCTTTGTTTTGCTGCCTCCAGCTAGCGCTGTGACGTCGGCTGATCCTAGTTACCTGTGGTTGGCCTGGCCGTGCATCACTCAGTACACAACAGGCCAATCAGAAGAGAGGCTCATGAATATTAATTAGACAGGCCAAAATCGACCTGTTCTCAGCAGAGCTCCTGAGAGAGGAGCTGTAAAAATATATTGAGATGGTTTTTGGTACTTATACCACAAATATATATTCTTAAGGACATCAAAACCTAAAATAAAACTCCAGAAAGGTGTACAATATGGGACCTTTAAACAATGCAATACTAGCAATGAGCGCAATGTGTTCCGAATAGCACGAGTGCAAATGTGACATTGATTATATACAAGTTCAATAAATAAGTTACTATTGTGTTATATTTAAGACACAATATTGTCTGTTTTTGCTAAATTTTTTTCAATGAAAATATTACCTATAAAGCCACAGCAGAACTGTTGTGTGTCTCCAAGTAACAAACAATGGTGTTTCGTTTGTAAATGAATCCACGTTTTGAATGAATTGGGTGAATAAAACTTCAAAGGCCCATTCATAAAGAGAGTCATTTAGTTCATTCCTGAATGAATCAGCTGTTTGAACAAATCGAATGAATGAATTACTCAGCGACTTACTCATTAATCAAGACCCAACTGCCACCTGCTGGCAGTTTCTTATTTAAAGTATTATTTTGTAAAAATATCAATTACAAAAAAAAGAAAACAAACAAACAAAAAAAAACATTAAAGGGATAGTTCACCCAAAAATGAAAATTCTGTCATAATTTCCTCCTCACTCCTATGTCATTTCAAACCTGTATGGCTTTTTTTCTTTTGCAAATCATAAAACACGATATTTAGTGTTGGTAACCAAACTGAGTTTCTTATTTAAAGTATTATTTTGTAAAAATATCAATTACAAAAAGAAGAAAACAAACAAACAAAAAAAACCATTAAAGGGATAGTTCACCCAAAAATGAAAATTCTGTCATAATTTCCTCCTCACTCCTATGTCATTTCAAACCTGTATGGCTTTTTTTCTTTTGCAAATCATAAAACACGATATTTAGTGTTGGTAACCAAACTGTTTTGGAGCTGCAGTAAATGGTCTGCAAATATTTCCAAATATGAAGTCAGATGCAGCTTCTGAAATAAAATCAAGGCCATCGTTGCCTAAAAGTTTGTGTAAAAAATTCCATGTTGAATCAAATAGAATACTTATTTCTAAAGCTTCTTTTTATAATGTCTGTTTGATCCTTTTCCCATTTGACACAATAATGACTTTAAATGATCTTTTGGGCGTAATTTCTCAACCAAATTTTATACGTAATTAATTAGATTAAATAATCATCACATCGCTGTAATGAATTAGATTAACATTTTTAATCGCTTGACAGCCCTAAAAAATATAATAAACAAAAACTCTACACTGGTGCATCACTAGATATTCATGTCTGTATCAAAGTGGAATCAAAGGTTGTGTTCTTTCATAACAGTGTCACTGAACGCTAGCGTGTGTTGTCTCACCTCTTTGAAGAGTTTACTGGGGGCAGCGATGGCTCTCTCCTGCTCCAGGTACGAGGCCCAACACCACGCCTTCTTCTTGCCTCCGTACGGAACCGCTGCATCATGGGAAACAGTCACAGGTGTCATAGAGTGTCAGACAGGTGTCACAGCCATCTGCTGCCCACAAGTGAGTGAGTGAGTGTGTGTGTGTGTCTCACTGTATCTGAGCAGTGCTGCGTCTCCTCTGCGTTTCTTGCGGCCTCTCGTCGCCCCACGTGCCGGTCGCCTGCTTTCTTTCTCTTCCTGTTTTACACACACACACACACACACACATACACACACACATACACACACAGACACACACACACACAGTCACACACACACAGACACACACACTCACAGACACACACACACACACACACACACACATACATCAAAACAGGAATCTAATGTAAAATCTGCAGTGGCTTCCAGAACAGTAAAATACAGTTTATCCTGACATCTTTTTCATATGACATCTACTCAGTTTGTGTGTGATCTCATCTGGCAGAAAGCAAACACATGCTCTCACGTAATCAGCTCTCGAGAGTCTCTGACTAGGGTTGGGTATCGTTTGCATTTTATCAATTCCAATTCCGATTCTGCTTATCAATTCCGATTCTTATCAATTCCAGTTTATCCTGACATCTTTTTCATATGACATCTACTCAGTTTGTGTGTGATCTCATCTGGCAGAAAGCAAACACATGCTCTCACGTAATCAGCTCTCGAGAGTCTCTGACTAGGGTTGGGTATCGTTTGCATTTTATCAATTCCAATTCCGATTCTTATCAATTCCAATGAGATTAAAAAAATGTGATTAAAACATATGTATTCTGTCTCTTTTTGCAAAACATTTAATTGCGGCTGAATACCATGAATAAAAATCAGCCAGCTACATAAAAACTGGAGTCGATTAAGAGCTGTTAAGACCACAATAGAGCTGCACGATTCTGGATAAATTGAGACTTTTTATTTATTTATGTATTTATTTTTAAATGGAGGTTGTAGTTCTCTTACAATTCTGAAGAAAAAACATTAGACAAGCAAACAAAATCTCATGGAATTTATGAACGGAATGATTCAATGACTCACTCAATATTTACTTGTTTCATTACTGGATGAATCAGTGTTTTTGAATGAATCTCTTGAACGAATGATTCAAAGACAAATACATTTTTAACAGCCCCTTTTCACCACCTAAAAATAAAAGATGTGCACGCAGGAACTGATAGGCGGAATCAAGTATCCGATTCTGGAATTGGAATTGAACAACTTTAAAGATGATTTTCTCAATATTTAGATTTTTTTGCACCCTCAGATTCCAGATTTTCAAATAGTTGTATCTCAGACAAATATTGTCCTATCCTAACAAACCATACATCAATGGAAAGCTCATTTATTCAGCTTTCAGATGATGCAGAAATCTCAATTTTAAAAAACTGACCCTTATGACTGGTTTTGTGCTCCAGGGTCACATATATGATCAGGAACATTTCCTGTAGTTATCAATTATAGGAAAACAATGTGTTTATGGTGTTTACATCACACAGAGTTGTCTGTTTTAATGGAGTCACTCTCTTTCTCTCTTTCTGGGTTAGCATGGCACAGGTTAAGTCTGTGTGAGACAGGAAGACCCCTTTCACAACATCCTGTGGCCTCTTTCTTAACAGTATAGTGTGTTCGGATTGTTTGCCAGCAACTGCATCGCCAGCCTCACCACAATTGTGATTAATATCTGGGTTTAGTCATTTTTGTGTCAGTAAATAATAATAATAATAATAATAATAATAATATTGTTAAATACATTTTCTCTATAATATAAATCTGTGAGAGCTATTAATTCATAAACACACTTTTTCTAGTAAACATCATATAATGTGTGAAACATTACATGATTTGTACATAATTTTCAATCCACTTTTAATGATGAAGCCATTTTAGACTTGATTTGAAACTATAATTCAATCAAGACTCTAAAAATGCAAAAATCCTGGATCTTATCATGAAATGTTGATGACTAGTGGTAAACAACATTTAGTTTAAGATAGGTGTTATATTCAGCCTGGTTCTCACGAGAGCAGGTCCTCACACTGCACATAGTGTGACCCATCAAATATAACTATATACAAGATAAATTAATAATAGTGACGATAATATTATAGCACTTTATTTATTCAGTTTTTAAATAAAATAATAAACAAAATAATGAAGTGTGATAATATTATATTTTAAAACAAAAAAGGGAGTATTAACATAATAAAAATACACTTATTTTATAGTAAACTTTAAAATAAAATGCTAATATTCACTTTTTTTTTAAAATATGAACTTTCATCATTTTCAAACTTACAATCAGCAAGATTTAATTTTGGTGGGTTGCCGGCAAGTATATGCGCTGCTGACTGAAGAGCAAATGAAATGTTACAGTTTTGCATTGTGCTTTGAAAACGGCAGCGGATAGCCTAGATTCACGCTTTCAGTTCAAATAGAAATCTCATACAGTACTACACATTGTCGATTTAAATGGTAATTGTGCATTAACAGCTGTCAACCATGTCGGTACGCACATGAGCGGACTGAACTTATTTACACAGCACGTTTTTTATGTTGGTTGCGCACCTGCGTAACACTTAGGTGCACACCTGGTTACAAGACAGAAAGGAGCATTATGACTGGTCTGGGTATATATCCAGATGTGGTGCACTTTCAGCATTTTAACACACTGTGTAGTGTAGTTGTGTGCCGTGCAAACATTAATTTTGTGCTTTACTTGCTTTGAAGGAATTTCCCTCAATTCATTCAGGAGATGTGCCACTAAAATAGCACAGACAGCACATACAAATAAACCCCAACATCACCTCCTGAATTCAAGAATTATTCATTAAAATGATAGCTTATTTTTTTTATCTTAATAATAATAGTTGGCTAATGAAGCTGAACAGCAGTCTATATTCATGTCATAACAGTGTGTTACGTACATTTGGTGCAAATCACACCCTGAAAACGTATTAAGCTAACTGACTACATCAATTCTTGAATGAACTGACTGTATGATCAGAAAGATTGTCTGAAACCACATCTAGGCCTATGTTTAGGAACCGACCGGTCGTCAGCAAGACCAACAAATACATTCATCCCATAAAGCACACACCTGCTCCATGTTAAGCTTCAGTATAGACCAATTCGGAGCAGACGTCACAGTTACGTCACTTGCAGCTGCGCACGCATAGTGGTGGCAGAAAAACACTGGGAACGAGTGGAGGGAAACGGGTCAAATCCATGGAATAAGAGAAAAAATGTATTGTTGTGCCTTTGGATGTCAGAATCTGAATGCAAATCATTTTTATATAACACTGTCGTCAAAGACGCCATTTGAAGCTAAACGCAGACGTTTAAACGGACAGACTATGGATGAAACCTGCTATGATTACCCTGCTTTTAAAGCATAAATTTGATTTAAACAATAGGCCTATATAATATTCATATAGGGAACATATTGTATTAGCCCGACAGTTGAAATACATGCATGAAATACTATTTAAACCTATAACATTTTACATAACATTTACCTATTTTATCTCACAATTCTGACTTTTTTTCTTGCTAATGCAAGTTTATATCTCCTAGTTCGGACTTTATAACTTTATTCAAGTCAACAATTGCGAGTTTGTCAATTCTGAGGAAAAAAAGCCAGAAGTGTGGGATTATAAACTGAAAAGAAAGAATGACGAGTTCATTTTTCTTACCAGAAATGTGAGATATAATCTTGGAATTGCAAGAAAAAAGTCAGAATTTTGAAATATAAACTCAAAATAAAATTTTTTATTATTTTATTCCATGGCTTGAATAGACTGCTACGTTAAAACTGTCATTTTCTGCCACCAGATAGGCTGAGAATGACGAGTTGATTTTTCTTACCAGAAATGTGAGATATAATCTCGGAATTGCAAGAAAAAAAGTCAGAATTTTGAAATATAAACTCAAAATTACATTTGTTATTCTTTTATCCCATGGCTTGAATGGACTGCTACGTTAAAACTGTCATTTTCTGCCACCAGATAGGCTCCGTCATCACTGTTGGCAAACACTGAAATTGGTCTATACTGACCACAGCAAGCAATGTTTATTTACAGCTGACTGGAAAATACCACAACATGACAAGCTTTATAGCAACACTACGGTGTTCAATAAATCAGTGAGAGGGATTTACAGAAACACATTTAAAGTAAGTATGAGGGTAGCATGCAGAATGTACTGTATAATATGCGCATTTTGCCAATTTTATGCATGCATGAGTACCTAGCATTATATCATATATTTATTGAACAGTGTCTTTCATCACATTGCTGTTTTACAAAAGCAAGAGGCCACACAATCTCCATTCTGATTTACTATGGTTAAGGGAATTTCACTTTAGCATGCATCATGCCTGACACTAAATCACTGTTCTGCTCGACCTCTCGTGGCTTACTGCTTTAGTGAACAACAGAGATGAGTGTACAGTAGTACACGGGGATCCTGCTCATTCTGACCAGTGCAGCTCCATGACTTACCACAACCTTTCCAGATGCTTGCGATCACAGGTTAAAGGAGAAAATCACAGAGATTACAGGATGGATTTTCATGTATGATTCTTGCAATTAATAGATTGTACTGATTATTTGTGTGCAAGAAAAAACAAGGTTTCAATGTCATTCACTGGGTGATTTGAGCTTTCAATCATACCCACAGCAGGAAAGAAAAATCAAAAGTGAGATCTCTTTAACATCTCAAATGTTTCTCCTAGACAGAAATGAGTCTCCTGCTTCTCAAACTTGTCTCGAGACAAAAACTCTAACACTCTCCCAAAGGTCTCCTTTAAAGCTTTAGAAGAGATCTCCCATGTTTCTCGCCCATTGTCATTTTGGATTCCTTTCTTTCAGAACTTTCTCATGTCTCAGCTGTGTCTACTTCTATTTCTCCTAAGTATTTTTAGGAGAGACATCTGAGACACTGTTGAGACTGAAATGAGAAATACATGAGAATCACCACTACGTCTCCTGAGGTTAGAAAGAGCAACCACTGAGCAATAAAATATTCCTGTAATGTAGTCTTGATAGAGATTGCAGCAAGACAATAAAGAGATATTCTGTTTGACTCTTTTTTTTCTCAAATATTTCTCATGTCTCATTTGTTTCTACTTCTAGTTCTCCTAAGGAATTTTAGGAGAAACATCTGAAATGCTGTTGATACTAAAATGAGAGATATATGAGAATCTCATCTAAGTCTCCTGAGCTTAGGAAGAGCAACCACTGAGCAGTAACTTTTTCCTATGGGTAAATTCATTCACTAGTAATATGATTATCAGTTTTGACCAATAGGTGTTGCTGTAGTCAAATGAATGGGTAACACTTTATTTCGATAGTCCACTTTAGACATTCTATTAACAGTAAGTAACTTTGCAACTACATGTCAACTAGCAGTTAGTAGAGTATTAGTAGACTGTCTGCTTAATATCTTCTAACACTTTCTTTGTCAACTTATTCTACTAACCCTAAACCTACCCTAACAGTCTACTCTGAGAGTTAGTAGACATGTAGTTGCAAATTAATGAGAATTAGTTGACATGTAGTTGACATGTAGTTACAAAGTTACTTATAGTTAGTAGAATGTCTAAAGTGGACTATCGAAATAAAGTGTAACCAATGAATGTGGTGTGTCAGTGTGAGGTGATGATAACACATAATGTTTGGTGTCAGTATGTCAAAGATACAGACTCAGATGCAGTTTGGTGTCATGAATCAAATTAGTTGATGCTATAAATGAAAACCATTTCGCCTATCGACACATAATCCATAACTTTTGCCGGCATGGTCTGAAGATGATTTGGGTTAAATTTGGAGAAAATCAGACCAACGGTCTAAAGAGAAGTTTGAAAAAGTAGATTTTCAACATAAATCAAAATGGCAGACAGGAAGTTCGACCGACTATGGCATAAATGGTATCAATATTATTGGCATCCACTGCATCCACGGAATCTATCAAGACCAGTCTCATGGCAATAGACAAAACTAATCAAAAGTTATTAGCTTTTTTAATTTCATTATCATTTTTGGCCACAAGTTGGTGCGCCAACTGAACTTTTTAAAGGGGTCATATGATGCTTTTTTAAAGATCATTATTTTGTGTATTTGGTGTAACAGAATATGTTGACATGCTTTAATGTTCAAAAAACACATTATTTTTCAAATACTGTACATTATTGTAGGTCCTCTATGCCCCGCCTCTCTCAAACGCTTCGTTTTCTACAAAGCCCCTCTTATCTATGCACAATCAGCTTGTAACACTCCAAAGAGAAAGGAAAACTTGAAATCGCATCATATGACCCCTTTAAGTTCTTCAGGGCATGGTGCCAAAAACACATAGCAAGTTTCGTAAGGATGCATGCATAAAACATAGCAATATTTTTTTTTTCAAAATTCAAAATGGCCGACAGGGGAAAATTTGGTAACATTCGACTCGGCTTGCTGCTTCAAACGTAAAGAGACCAGCCTTATGATTTTTGGCCAAACCGTTCAAAAGTTATAAGAGCCATTTTTCATACCTCCCGACCGCTAGGTGGCACTGTGCTGAAACTGTGCTGGACAGAATAGATTAAAGCAGTGTAGTGAAATAGCCTCATGTCTACTTTGGTGAGCTCTTTGACAAATTCATTCGTGTGTTATTCAGATACAGTTTGACTGATCAACTTCCATGGTTTTTAGTCGACATGGTCTGAAGGTGATGCGTTTTTTTCCGAATTTAATTTTCGCGAAATTAAACATACAGTCTACAAGGAGTTGGAAAAGTTTTTTTTTTTATCTAAATGGCAGAACATTTTTTATGATGGAAAAAGATGTCATAGGGTGCATTCAGATCATCTTGAGCCAAGAAATTAGAGGACGTCTAGCCCTTACAGTTAAAAAAGTTATTAGCACAAACGTAAGTGCAAACTTGGACAAGTGGTGGCGCTAGAGAGTCTGAGTTAGAGACTCCAAATTTGGTGTGCTTTATGTTCAGACTTTCCTCTATCTGTGTGCCAAATTTCATAACTTTTTACCATACAGGTCTGTGGGATGCCATAGACTTCAGAGCGGAAGAAAAAAGTAGAAGAACAATAACAGATACAATAGATGCCTACGGACCTTCAGTGCTTGGCCCCTAATTACTGAAACTCAATTATAGAGACGATTCAATTGGTCACACTGAGTAAGGAACAAACGGATGTTATTATCAGCAATGTGCAGCCAATATTAATATATTTTAGAGCAGAACATAAGCAGGACATCACAAGGAATATTTCCTTGTCTTTTCCATGCTTGGATATCACAGTTTCTACATTTCTCTGACAAGTTTTCATTGACTGAGAACCTTGTGTTTACAACAATACACTGCACTCAAGCTGACCTTCCTTTTCTATGAACACATGCTCCGGAAGCCATACTGCCTGCGATTTCCTTCTTGATTCATTTGATCAGAAATAAAAAAAGGTCAGGATGATTTCACACAAAAATAGACTGAAACACTAAACAACTGTTTCATTTCCAAGATGTTAACTAAATCACTATAATAAGCTCATGTGACTGTGATTGAGCATACTACTATTTGAAATGTTTATCATTACATACTGCATATTGTTTAACATGCTATTTTTATGATATCTGTCAGTATGCAGCGCACCTGCATTCCATTCTAAACACACACTAAATTCCATTTCTATTTCAAATCATTGTGACAGGTCAGTCAATGCAAGCGTGCTTCCCAGTGCTCACAAACAAAAACACAACAACTGCTGCCCAGATCAACTGCTGTTGAATGTAGAGCTAATAGGGCTGCATGATATATGGAGATTATCAAAGTTGTCAATGTGCATATCTCCATATGCATATTGCAGGGCTTTAAGTTATGTTTATGATGATGCAGAGAATAAACTGGATATGCGACCGGTGTGTGTGTGTGTGTGTGTGTGTGAGTGTGAGTGTGAGTGTGTGTGTGTGTGTGTGTGTGAGTGTGAGTGAGTGTGACTGACTGCTCAAATGCGGAGTTTTGCGCATGGTGTGTGGGTGTGTGTGTGTGTGTGTGTGTGCGCGTGCGTGAGCAAAAGACTGACAGGGTTTCTGCAGGCTTTATGAAAGCACATAGACTTTTTAGAGACTTTTTTAAAACCAAAAAAAAAAAAATTTAAGGATGTAAAAATGTAACAAAAGGAAGAAAACATGTCAAGATGTTCTTCTCTAAATGTAAATGTCTAAGGAGAAACACAATGAGTTTTAGCAACACTTCTAAAAACACAACTTCCAACACATCACCATTACTTTTAGTTCATTTTACAAAAAATAGCTCAAGGCAAATACTAGAAAATGGAAATAACTTTTACTGCCCCTAATAACTTTTAATGTCTCTTCAGTGCAAATCACACTGCAAAAAACTGATGCTGTTCCCCGGTATTTCTGTCTGGTTTTCCAGTGTAAAAAGATTCTTAAATCTTAAATCATTCTCCACTGTCAGATATTTGTTCTTGTTTTAGGCATAAATTCACTGAATTTTGTTAAATTTCTCAGAAAACAAGACTTCATATCTTCATTTTTCATCTTAAGTAAATGTATCTTGAATTAAGGATGTTTAGATATTTGTATGGGAAAACAAAAAAAAATACTGAAAAAGATATAAAGTTTTAGCAATGCATGCAATGCATTTATTGTTTTTACATTTAAGACTTTCTGCTCTGATTTAAGACCTTTTTAAGGGCCTTCATTTGTGAAAGGGCAACTTGAGGCTTTTTAAGACCCTCAAAAACCCTGAACTGAAACCTGCACACACTGTGAGAGGGACGGTGAATATGAAACGCTCTCGTGGAGGTCACACACGCCACGTTTATAAATTTGACACCAGCCTCAGTCTCCTTCGGAAGCAAGTTAAATAATAATAGCAAGTTAAAAGGAAGAGTATAATACAAGCTTTTGCATTAAATAATCTTTGACAGAGCTGCATTAATTTCACTAGCATCTGTTCTTTCACATAAATCACTGTCTTCACAGTGTCACCAGAATAAAATAAGTGACTGTTTAGAGCAAGAGTAGTGTAACTGGTGTAACATAATGAACAAAATAAATAATATTACAAAATTGCATTACTCTACGAAAAAGTAACAAATTGCGTTACTTAGTTACCTTTCATATAACATTTTATGTTACTTTAGCGTTACTGGTTGGGTTGGGCTTGCTTATTTGTTTTTATAACAAAAAACATAAAAGTTATATTTTTGGCAACTGTAAAGGCCCTTTCACAACAAAAGTGAAATGAATAAGCCTCAGGATTTCTCTCATCACGGGGACAGGAGAGGCGTCAGTGAATAAATGGTAAGACAAAGTAACTTGCATGACTTTTTTTTCGAAAAAGTAACTCAGATATTTCTTTAAAAATTAAAAGTAATGCATTATTTTATTAGTTACTTGGAAAAGTAATCTGATTGCGTAACTCTTGTTACTCGTAACGCGTTACCCCCAACACGTGATCTGAGGAATCGTTCAAACGCTGCAGGACGACACACACGCTCGACGTGAACACTTTCTACACATTTAACACTTCTTCAGCTCATCACTAACACTACGGACAGGGCTCGAATTGGGGGGGGGGATGGCGTCCCCCTGGTTGAAAAAAATGACAAAAAACATCCCCTCTGTAGAACCACCATCCCCGTTGGATTATTAATGTTGTGTATTATGTAAAACTTATCATGCACATGAAATGTTAAAATTCTCTACTTACGATAATTTACGAACTAAATAACAGTGATAGGCCAATCAGAACTCGGTACTGTAACAAGCTGCGCACAAGCTGAAGCAATGTCCTATTTCGCGCAAAATGGTTCAAGCGCAACTTTTGAAGTTCTTTAAAAAAAGACAACAGAAGGTATGATTTTTCCTTGATTAGAATTTAAAATCATCCCTTGACATAATGTATGTTATGCTGTATGTGTGACTGTGAGGGACTGAGAGATGATAGGAGAGCTGACAATATCTGACTTTTCAAAAAACAAACAAAAACTCGTCTTGAGAGTCCAAAAGCATTCACTGCGCGATAAAGCCTATTAGAATGCAGTTAGAATGCCCTTATAACTTCAGCAATGAAACAAAAAATACCCATGTATGAGTCTTTATGTTTTTATATTCATTGCACAAGCAATATACTTTTCTGAATATCAGCAATGTCATCTTTATTTATGCATGGCAGGCCTAACCAGCCAAAGTACCAGCATAAACTCACATTCAGCTAAATATACTTTAATTATCAATATTGACCAAAATTCCTCCATTTCAGGCCCCAGAAGGAAAAAAGCTTATGAATAAAAGTTAATGTAACAAGGCAAATTTTTCATTAATTAAAAACCTTTTTAAAAATAAGACACATTTTGTAATCATTGTGTAAAATTAGCTTTAGGACACATCCCCCAACCGACCACACCACCCCCCCTGAATTGTTTTTACATTTGGACCACTGACTACGGATGATCAGTGGTGATAGTGATGCCTCAGTGGCAGTGCAGGACTTACTCTTGCTGCTCCTGCTGCAGACAGCGCTCGCTGCAGTGAAGCCCGTCAGACAGGAAGTCCACCACGGAGCCCTTCCTGTTACAGCGGACACACACCAGGCCTCGCTGAGCCCACGCCGTCTCCTCCTTTGAGACCGGCCCCTCAGAGACAGCTGAGGAAAATCAACACACATTTTGATTAAATAATCAATCGATCAATAACCAATCATTACCTGCAATATCAGACAAGCCTGTGCTCTTTTCAAATGTAAGCCTCTGGATCGATTTAAAATGCCATTATACACTAAACCTTGTTGCCTGGCACTTATAAAAGTGACTCAAGGTTTACTGAATCTTATGTTGTTCCTGCTTTCATTCCCAGATGAGCATGCAGGACATCAGAGATATCATCTACATCTGCTCCACTATCAGTCAGTGTCACTACTCCTACAAAAAAGAAGTTTATATGTTCATTTTGTTAAACAAACTTAAAAGTTCAAGCATACTTTCCAATTACCTTTATGTAGTAATTATTTTAAAATTAGCATACTAGTAGTATACATTTACATTTAGTCATTTAGCAGATGCTTTTATCCAAAGCGAGAAATGAGGACAATGGAAGCAATCAAAACCAACAAAAGAGCAATGCTATACAAGTGCTATAACAAGTCTCAGTTAGAATACAAAACGAATAGAGAAGCTAGTGTTAGTTTTTTTTAAGAAAACAAGCAGTTAGTAATTGAATAGAGTGCAAGTCTAAAAGGAACAAGTTTTTTTAAAGATAGAATTAGAATAGAGAGTGCTAGAGTTAGAGGGTCAAATATAGATGGAAGAGAAATAGCATTGTATACTCGTATACTTGCAAGGGTACTATCGCAATATTTTTTCGTTTATTAAAGTGTAATTTTACGTGTAAGCTAGTTTACATCTACATCTTTCTTTTGTATCTTGCTATTAAATCTTACAGAGAATTACAAAGAAACAGCAAGTAAAATTTTGTAAAATTTGCTTAACCTTTTTTATTAACAATTTACAGATGAACTTAGAAGTATACTGTTATTTTACTTGTTATATATATTGTACTTGTTTATGAAAGACCACTCTGTGTGCTCTCACAGTAAACTACTAGTTTAATAGTTGTTATACTGCAAGTAAACTCAAGTTTTTTATTTTTATTTTACATGCATGTAGCATCATAGTTATACACTGAAAAAAATAGTATTATTCAAGTCAAAAATATTATTTAACGTCACCGAATCAACCAAAATGCATTTATTTCTAACAACAAAACTCATTTATATGGTTTAAACCAGGCAGAAGTAGTAGCAATAGCAGGTTTTGTATTTTTACTTTAACTGAACATTATTTCAGGTGATTGTATTGTGACAGTATCGTAGTGAATGGCTGCATCTGTTCACTTGCACTAACATGATCAGCCGTAATCGCAGTGAAAATGAGGCTTTTCTCTTTTCATTTGACTCCATTCTGATTCACAGTCTCTGCTGTTAAATTATGTTACTGTGTAATTAAGAAAAAATGGCAGGTGGAAATTCATTTCATTTCAGCCCACTTATTTTTTATTTATTTTTTTATTACCATAACAACCTAGTTGTTCGGAATTTGCTTGGCGAGCTACATGCAGTTGAGCTGAGAACGTTCAACAATAATAATAATAATATCAACAATAATAATAATATACATTAAAATATACATAAATGCATAAATACATCTATAAATATATGTCATATCAATTACAAAGCGTGAAATGCAGATGCACAGATACCAGAGGAATTAAGAGCATGCACAATCCCACAATAAGTGCTGTTCAGAAAACGTGTAGACTTAGTTTTAATTGCTCTAAGGCGTCTGCCTGAAGGAAGAGGCATAAAGAGTTGTCTGGCTGGATATAAGGGATCTTTCATGATTGTTAGACCTTTTTTCTGCAAACGTGAGACATAGATCTCATCTACAGTGGGAAGATCACAACCAATAATTTCTGAAGCAGTCGGAGTTAGAATAATACCCAACCATTTTTACCACTTTATGAGCACAATGAAGTGAAAATCACAGAAATCTCCAGTTTACGTCTATGGGATGTTGTGTAGAACTAGCTAGAAACTGTAAGCAGAGGGAAGGGGCAGTTCTAAACCCAAACACGAGCTTATGATTGTGTTTACCCTCTTGTGCAGTGGGGACGCTCCATGTGGTGGTGGCGTGAGCTTTCTTGCCCCTCTCCTCCTCCATCTCGTCCGTTATGACCTCCAGGACCCCAAACTCATTCACCCGGAACTAAAACACACATAACGGAGACGCTTGCACACTGTCTGCAATGCTGAATGTACACAACTAACCTATACACTCCCACCAGATGACCGTCATTAAAACATCATAAAGATTTAATGCAGTAAACCGGTCATGTTTAGGTTCATATTCAGTCTTGTGTTTATATATACACTGCAAAAACTGTCTTCTTACTTAGTGTTTTTCTTAAATCAAGAAGCATTTACTTGACAAGTAAAATGACTTAAGATTTTAAGTCTTGTTTTAAAAAAAAAGGATCAAAATGTTAGTTTTTGCTTAAAACGAGCACAAATATCTGCCAATGGGGTAAGAAAAATAATCTTGTTTAGCCTTTGAATTAAGATTACTTTTCTTACCCCATTGGCAGATATTTTTGCTCGTTTTAAGAAAAAACTAACACAATTTTAACCCTTTTTTTTTTTTTTTTTTCATTTTAAGACCAAACACAACATAACCTATAAAAAAATAATAATAATAATAATAACAATAAAAAGAGAAAAAAGAAAAAAAAAGACTTAAAATCTTTACCTGTCAAGTAAATGCATCTTGATTCAAGAATGTTTAGATATTTGTACTAGAAAATAGGGGTGGCTCGATACCACTTTTTCAGAACCGATCCCGATCCGATACCAAAACTTCTGAGTATCGGCCGATACCGATATCAATCCGATACCAGCACAGTTATTTTTTAATCAGTTTTGAATTTCTATACCTCAATGTGTGTTGAACTGATCGTCACTCAACTATCGTTTAATCTACTAAATATAGACAATTTCTTTAAATTTAATAACAAAAGGAAAAAAAATATATAATCATAATCTATGACAAAATACTATTGTAAACTAGTTTAGATATAATATTAGGAACATTGAATCATCTTGGAGAGAGTTTCATCATCTTGACTGTCGTAACCAAACGCGACACGCCGTTTGAATGCTGAATGAAGGATGACAGACAGCTGCAGCGGAGAGAAGAGTTTACGTGAACTTGACTTAAATATTCATCTGTACCTCACATTAAACTGTGGAACGGCTTCAGAACACTTGGAATATAGTGCACAAAAACTTTATGGTGCTTTATAATGTTTACGCAGAATATCGGATTTGGATCGGTCTCGTCTGATAGATACCCGATCCGGCAGAAAATGCCAGTATCGGAGCGATACCGATACTGAATATCGGCGCACCCCTGCTAGAAAACAAGACAAAAATACTAAGTAAGAGAACACTCTCAGTTACTCATGTAACCTCGGTTCCCTGAGATGAGGGAATGAGACATTGCTTTGGGAATATCCCTTCCTCCAAATACTACTGAAGCCTTATTGAATCACGCCAGTGAAACTGGCTAATGGCATTCAAGCGTATGAAATATGAGGGGCTCCCACTCTATATAAGGCAGCGCTTGTATGGCATCCATTCAGAATCTTGACTGAAGCAACTTGGCATTCTAAGATCCTGAGCTAGGTGACACGGCAATGAGAGCAATGTCTCGTTCCCTCATCTCAGGGGACCGAGGTTACGTGAGTAACCGAGAGCGTTCCCTTTCGATTCGGTTACTTCTACATTGCTTTGGGAACATATAAAATCCCTCCGTGTCATAGCGATGGATCCTGGCTCGTATGTCAAGTTTCACGTACGGAACCGTAATGAGAGCGACTATGATATTGGCGCCCTTGGTAAACACAGCCCAGTCTACAGGACCTAGTCGAAACCATGTAAACGTCACACTTTACGTCACACCAGGGGCGAAGTTAACACCGGTGAAACAGAGAATGTGAAATGGTGGCGGCTCTGGCGCCGTCACATATAGATTAGTTGAAGTTTGTTTAATTTCAATGAAATAATGTGTTATGATGCAATGGCCGTAACGGTGCTCAAAAAAGCAGAGTATGATGGTGATCATGTCCTAAAAGATGTGATGAACAATATCATAACAATGTGATAAGCTGATAGGGACAGCATTGCTTTGGTGGCACGTCAGTACCGGGGTGTATACGACCTGGTCGAAACCACTGAGGCAAGCAGCTCAGATCATAACTGAGGCTGAGTAGGCTTGTGCGCTGCTCGCACTGACAGCACATGTGAGGCAAGCGACAACACATCTAGGTTATAAAACCTCGCGAAAGTGCTGGGTGACGACCAGCCTGCCGCCATGCAAATGTCCTGAATAGATATGCCATATGCCCAGGCCCACGAGGACGCGAGTCCGCGGATTGAGTGGGCCCAAACCCCTATTGGACATTCCACACCCTTAGAGCCATAAGCCAAAGCAATTGCGTCGACGATCCAGTGTGACAGCCTTTGCTTGGACACAGGCAGGCCTTTTGTGCGCCCTCCAAAGCATACAAATAGCTGCTCCGAGAGCCTGAATTCAATACATGAGTCGTCAATTGACAGCGCCTGCAGGTCGCCAACTCGCTTAACAGAGGCCAGCGCGAGCAGGAGCGCTGTCTTGAGAGAGAGCGTGCGCAAGCTCGCTGATTGTATGGGCTCAAACGGGGGTCCCGTGAGAGCATCAAGCATAAGCGCCAAATCCCAAGTGGGCAGGGTGGAAGGGCGAGGAGGGTTCAGCCTTCTTGCTCCTTTTAAAAATCGTATGATCAGGTCATTTCTGCCGATTGGGCGATTATCGACGTGCGCACATACACGCACATACACTTTCAATGTGGATGGTTTACGACCACTATCACCAGCATCTTCACCAGTTCTGGGAACCACTGCTCATTGGGCCATTTCGGTGCCACTAACAGAACAGATTCTCTGTCCTCTCTGATTTTGCAAGGCACGCGAGGCAGAAGTTTCACTGGAGGAAAGGCATACTTGCGTACTTTCGGCCAGCTGTGAGCTAGTGCATTCACTCCCAGGGGAGAGAGCACACATTCCCTTGGTGATTTATAAACACTACCACTGTCACGCTGTCCGTCCTCATGAGAACGTGACGGTAGAGAATGTCAAGGAGAAAGCACTCGAGCGCTAGGTATACAGCAAGGAGCTCCAGACAGTTTATTTGCCACAACTTCTCTGTTTCTGACCACGTCCCGAAGGCTGGTCAGCCGTCGCATACGGCTCCCCAGCCCCTGCTCGATGCATCTGTCGTAACAGTCTTTCTCCTTATCACTTGGCCAATAGGAACACCCCGGCGATACAGAGTCATATTGCGCCAAGGGGTCAGTGCATCCCAGCAGTCGCACGTCACTTTGATGCGCAAGGTGCCCGCGTGGCATGCGCTCTGTGGCACCCGGCCCTTTAGCCAGAGCTGGAGCGGTCGCATATGTAGGAGCCCTAGATTGCACACTGTCGAGGCGGCAGCCATCTGGCAGAGCGTCCTCTGAAAGCATTTCAGTGGGGTAGAGTGCCCTAACTTGAAGACTGCGAGAGAGCTGATCAGTTTTTGTGAGCGCTCCTCCGACAGACGCGCTCACATATTGATTGAATTCAGCTCCACTCCTAAAAAGGAGATGTTCTGGCTCTGTACCAGTATGCTCTTTTGCATATTCACAGTAAGCCCTAAGCTCTGAAGATGAGCGAGGAGACTGAGCTTGTCGTTGAGCAGCACGCTCTCTGATTGGGCTAAAACTAGCCAATCGTCGAGATAGTTCAGGATGCGCATTCCGCTCTGCTTCAGAGGAGAGAGAGCAGCATCCATGCACCAGGGATAAACCGAAAGGTAGGACCGTGAATTGGTACGCTACCCCCTCGAATGCAAATCTCAGGAAACGCCTGTGGCGAGGGGCTACCTGAATGTGAAAATAAGCATCCTTTAAATCCACAGAGATAAACCAATCTCTCGGTCTGACGTGTGAGAGGATTTGTCTCAGCGCGATTCAGCGGTCTCAGGTCCAAGATTGAGTCCGCCGTCTTTCTTTGGTACCAGAAAATAACGACTGTAGAAGCCGCTCTCGCGATCTGCAAGGGGCACTGTCTCTACAGCGTGTTTTGCGAGGAGGCTGTGTATTTCCTTTCACAGAGCTGAGGCATTCTGCTCCCGTACAGTGGACATTAACACACCGTTGAAACAGGGCGGCCTGCGGAAGAACTGAAGCGTGTAGCCATTCTTTATTGATTTCATAAACCACTCTGATACCCCTGGCAGTGCCTGCCACGCTTCTGTGAATTGTGACAGCGGGCGAGGCCGTGAGGAATAACTCGCCGTTGGGGGGCGGGGAGTTTAATACCACACGAGTGTGAGAGTGAGTGATGGGGGAGAGAGAAGCGAGAGGAGGAAAATTGCTCTGATATTGAGGTGTGTTTTTCGACTTTTGCACGGCATAGTGGAAAAGTCAAAACACAAACATGACAATTGCTTTCGCCGCCCGCAACAGGCAGGGGGGCATGGTGAACACACACAGCGGAGCGAGCAGACTTCTTCAGTGGCTCATCTTCGGTGCTGGGTGCAGCTTTCCTCCTCCGAGAGACAGCGTCAGGAACGCGGCTTTGATTCCGGTGCCGGTGGCCTGCCGTCTCTGTCAGGGCGGGGCCTCTCGCTCTTCGAGCCCTGACGGCGCTTGGGCCACGGCTGTCTTGGCCTCACTGCCGGCTCATGTTCACGCCGAACTGCAGCAGAAGAGGTGTGCGGTCTTCCCACGCGCTGCGCTGAGGAGGAGCGGGAACGCGCAGGAGGGTTCGCGCCGGCGAGCTTTGGCAGGATGTGGCTAATGGCCTTCGACTGTTTCTGCGCCTCGACGAAGCGCTCCGTGAACATCTGCACCGCTGCTCCGAAGACACCTGAGGGATTCACGGGTGCGTCCAGAAGGGCCGTTTTTAACTCCTTGAGTCCTTTAACTCGGTCAGAGTAAGTCACAGGTGACAATCTAGTACCACAAGATTTCCCATGCTGCGGCCGATCACTCGAGCTGTTACCTTCATCGCTCGGAGGGCCAGGGCCAGGGGAGTTGAACATACCCCACTTGGTCAGCGCCGTCCACAGAAGACAGGAGGAAGGAACCCGGGTTGTGCACTCGACTGGTGAGCGGTGCGTTCCACGACTTCACTATCTCGTCGTGCACCTCGGGGAAAAAGGGCCTGGGCCTCCGCGGGGTGTCCTTTCGGCCGCGGTCCGACTGGAGGTACCACTCGTCCAGACAGCTTCTGGCTGGCTCGGCAGGAGGCGTCCACTCCAAACCGAGCTCATCAACTGCCTTGGACAGGACGCGTAGGAGCTCGACATCACTATGATGGAGGTCCCCTGCGTCGCTGCCATGGGGCACAGTGTAATCCAGCAGGCTGTTGGACCACTTCTCTCTCTTGCCACCGAAATGGCTTCATCTTCCTCTTCAGCGCTCTCCATGGCACCAAAGGACACCACATCTTGAGCACCGGGGAGGGGCGGAGATCAGCGGTCATGAAGCACACTAGAAGGGGACCTGCAGCAGGGGGGTGAGGAGCGCGCGGGCTCGTCACCTGACCCTGACAGATCCACATCAGAAGCTCGCGGCACTTTCCGCCTTGGCTCGAAACAGGCTGCAGAGGAAGAGAGCGGCAGGGCTAGTTGAACTCGCCTTGGACGATGGCCACACGGAGCCTGAGAGTCCAGAGGCACATATCTCCGCAATTGGGGGTAGTCCGACCCCCCAAGTGCTGCCTCTGCGTGGGCGCGACCCAGGCAGAAGACACACGATTCATGGCCATCAGAATATTTGATTGGCTCTGCACAGTAGTATTTGGAGGAAGGGATATTCTCAAAGCAATGCAGAAGTGACCAAATCGAAAGGGAACCATTTTTTGCAGTGTAATAAAGGCCTATATGTATTTGCTAACCTTGAGCTCGCTGCCAGGCAGTGTTCCTACTCCGTCCTTCCAGTCCATCGCCCCGTACACGTCAAACTCTGGAGCGGCTGTGCTCGGGCCTGACGACTCCATCACACCCGCACACAGCTAATCTGAAAAACACAGCATAATAACCCACACAACCGCCAGATATATGAGCCTTATTCACAATATACCACAGAAGGTCATTACAAACCACACTGAAACTCTTCTGTGCTCTTTGTACTTCATCTATACTCACACTTTGTGTGTTTTTACTACAGAGAAACAAAGTTAAATTCTAGTTTAGTTATTTAAGGTTTGTATGCGCATGTAAACATGCAGCATGCACAGTCTGAATCAGAATCCATAACACACCAAAATTTAAAAAAAAGAAGAATTTTGCTTTGCATACAAATTTAAGCCTTTTTTGAGATAATTGCATTGTAACATGTTATTTTAATGACAATTAAACCAGCACTAAACGTCTTTTTCTTTAGTTTTTGGGGTAAATATGGCCCAGATATATTCTTGACTGATCAGATTCATCCATATACTAATGTAAAATCATTTAAAACACTCTGAATTATGTTGCAAGTTATTTCAAATAACAAAGAACAATTAGAAAGCTTTATCTAAACAAATAAAGAGTTCAGATGCAAAAGCCTCTAAGTGCCATCTGAAATTTTCTTCTAAAATTAGCATTTTTCTCAGGCTCCTATGTTTATGTTCAGTTATTTCACTTTAACGCAATGAAAAGAACCTACTCATTACCGTTAAAGTGAAATTACTGAACCTAAACATAGGTCATTTTAGAAGAAAATTTCAGACGCCACTTAAGAGGCTTTTGCATCTGAACTCTTCAAATAATACATTTTTAGTCCAGAGCTAGTTTACCAGCTATCATCTAATGAATTGCACTGTTTTGTGCGTTAAGACAGTACTCATTTGTAAACTGACTTTAATGTATAATCTATAAAATAAAAACATTAGAAGAAGACTCGTTTCTTATCTGTCCTTCAAATCAATGTCAAACCTTCTTTTGTAAACCTACGTTACCCTTGGACAACCACGAAGCACCACAACACAAACACTGTTTCAGATTAGGTAACAAGCTAAACTGGAAGACAGGCAATCTTTAGGGTACACAGGCAAGTTTCAGGCGAGTGTGTGTGTATGTGTGTGTGTGTGTGTTAGTGCCGCATGAGGCCTAGCGCATGTGTGTCATTCCCGGATCCGCCAGCAGAGCGCGCTACTGCCCGCCGTTCATCCGCGGCGCTGGAAACTTTCAAGCCCGTTCAACAATGAAACCAAAAAGAAATGCACGCAATATTGTCACACATTGCAACATTTTGTCAGCGCATCGCGTGTTTTGATTCATTTTAACATGGTTTCGCATGAAACGCCTCGGTCAGAGAGTTGAATAACTGTCGCATATCCGGACGTTAAACGATTTTTGCAGCTGTTGTTGGTATTTATAGGTATTTGCTATGTTATATAATTAAACAAAGTTCATTTTCTCAACAAAAATTTGAAATCTCCGTGCAAATGCTTTACTTTTCTATGTGAAGTGCAATATTTCGGCATCTATTTGAATTACAGTTTTTTTAAATAATGATTTGATGATTAAATTAAACGACGACGATGATGATACAAATGAAATGCATGTTTATTTTCCACCTTGAGTTTTACAGCGCCGCGTTTTCCTGTTAAACGCGTTTATTTCCAGGTTTGTGTGTATTTCTTGCGTGCAGCTCTATTGTATTAAATAGTTTCCACTGAATGAGGTGAAATGATTCGGCTCGACGGCGACAGTGCAGTATTATTTCCCCCTAAACATCGACGACATATTTCAGACGGCACAGTATCAGATATTAAAACACTTTTCTTTAATGTGTTTTAAAGGCAGTTTCTCAAAATGGCGGAGCAGGAATTATATTCACTATATAATTGAAAGACACAGGCCTGGCGAATCGCGACATTATTGCTGATCAATGACATTTAAAGTGCATGATTGAGCCGACCGCGCGAGACGTGTTTTGTTTGGCACGAGCAGTTCCTGCTGTTTCCAGCACACAGGAGCGAATGCACTGCTGCTCTGCATTATTCTACACAGATAAACCTATGCTTTATTCCTGCCATCAGCCGCACATGTACACTTTGATCCTTTCTATCGACTGCGTCTATTTTGAGTGTCACTCATTCGCGTTATTCTTTATTGCATACTCTCTTCCTGCTGCTCATATTATTGATGACACGTCCAGGCGTTTTCTACTTTAAATCTAACTTTCATTCTTATTCCTAAGCATTAAACACCCCGCGAAAGTCTGAGACGGCGCATAAAGGTTTATTACGGATTATAAAATGCTAGACGAGCAGTTTATTCTAGCGTGCGATTGTTTTAATTTGTCTGTTTCTTACCCAAAATTCTCCCACGAGTACTGAGAAATTGGCCAGGCGGACTCCAGTGCGCATGCGCAGTGCAGCCGTCGCGCTTCACACTCGCCCATCATCATGACAAGATCGAAAGTTTTGCGCTGAGACAACTGCGACGGTCCCACCGACCCAGCAGCCTCCTCCGAAACCCGCCTGCGGCTCTTTTAACGAGCGGCGACGGGGTCCGGTGGCGTACAACATCGCCATTGCTGTTTTGCTACTAAAAATGAATTCCTGCGTGCGACCCAGCCTTCCCAAAATGTATAGAAACGTCTCAGTAAACACGAACGATCAAACTCTTGTGGCTTTATGGCCCAGAGATGGAGAAATGCGACGCAGGCTAACGCCAGTGCTCTAGTCTCAGATATCTATGAACTACTGAACAACACTGTACTGATCCTCAACTGCTAAACAACACTAAACTGTGCTGTATAGAGCAACCAAATAACCCCATACTATACAGAAACAACGTGACACTGTAAACTATACTGAGCTACACTGTGCTGTAAAGAACAACACTGAGCTGTACATTAAATAGGTTACATTAAACTACACCAAAAGATAATACTATTAAGCTGTTTAGAGCAACACTAGATAGGCCTAGTAATAAACTAAAATATACTGAATTATAGGTTACTAAGTATGAGTGAGTTTTTGCAAACCTTCATCTCTTGAAAGTGTGTTTAACGCGCTTCGCTTGTGTGAATGAAGGCACATATAAATACCTCACTTTTATTCCCTGACAATAACACAGGCTCACAACACATAAATGATGCTGACGAAGTGTAGCTATGGATAAAACACTAAATGACGAACAATGATCAAATAAACTGGCTATAGGTTACCCAACCAAGCAGAGCTGGGTTTATTTATCTATTATGTCATTTGTGCCAGTTAGCTATTTATTAGTGCACTCCTCCTAGGCTTTAACACCGTATCTAATCAAACTATAACTCTAGTTATTAGTCAGGTCATGGATAGACTAGAGATGTAAATATATTTGCTACTTTATGCAAATGAGTGTGATCACATGTAACCAGTGCAGTCAGGAGTTGCATGCCTGCAGTAGCTGCTTTTGGTTTTAGTTTTAATTTGGATACTTGCAATGGCTCAGTGTCACGCTAACGTAAAGAATTGATGTTGCAAAGTGAGTTCAAAGGCCAAAGAGATGAATTTTCAAGGCAGAGGTGAGGTTTTAATTACAGCCCTTGTCACACTATATACATTTCTGCAATTCCATGTTGCCTTGTTTCAGGTTTAGCGCTGTCCTGTCTGCAGTTAGTGCACCTCTACACTTTAAAGTCTTCTATTAAATGTCTTATGCTGGTCTTGTAGGATCATAGGAGATCACTATTATCACTGACATTTGAAGCCAGTCAACTAATCTTTTAATATGTCTTAATCAATGTGTTCTTTTTCTTACCCTTTGCTCTTAAAGGAATAGTTCACCCCAAAAAAAACAAAAAAAAAAGTTGTTGCAGTACTCACTTAACATCTTATGACGCCAAAAGCTACGTGTTTTGTAAGAAACAAATCCATCATTGAGATGTTTTTAAGAAAAATATGTTAAGTATAGAGCTGTTTTGGCTTGTATAACTGCTTGATCTGTGCAGATTTCTCTCCTGATTCAGACCAGACCACTTTTTCTCTGGAGGAAGCGTTATTATGGATTATGGACTATTATGGATATTTTAACTGGATGCAACAGTTTGAAAAAACATCTTAATGATTGATTTGTTTCTTCTCCAGATGTTAACTGATGGACTGGAGTGCTGTGGATTACTTGTGGATTATTGTGATGTTTTTATCAGCTGTTTGGACTCTCATTCTGACGGCACCCATTCACTGCAGAGCATCCATTGCTGAGACACTGATGCACTGCTACATTTCTACAAACCTGATGAAGAAACAAACTCATCCTAATCTCGGATGGCCTGAGGGTGAGCACATTTTCAGCTCATTTCCATTTTTTGGTGAACTGCTTTTTTTTTTTTTTTAAGTAAGTGAGCATTGGAATGAATGGAAAATAGCTACTTTTGGTAAAATTGCTTTGAGTGGATGTTGCCATTTTTGCCACAAGAATTTCCAGTAGCACTTTAGTATAGGGACCAATTCTCACTATTATCTAGTTGCTTATTAGCATGCCTATTATTAACATATTTGCTGTTTATTAATACTTATAAGGCACAAATTTTGCATGAGCATAATCTATATACCTAATCCTACCCAATACCTAAACTTAGCAACTACCTTACTAACTATTAATAAGCAGCAAATTAGGAGTTTACTGAGGCAAAAGCCGTAGTTAATGGTTTGTTAATAGCGAGAATTGGACCTTAAAATAAAGTGTGACCGAATTTCCTTTATTTAAACAAATAATTCTTTAAATTCCAACACAAGCACGTTCATTTTAATGATTCAAAAGTTGCTTCCTAACAGGAATGACCCAGATTTTGTTTTAAACAAGTAGGCCCAAATTGTTTTACCCATGCTTTGCAATTGAAGCACAGTGTTAATCTGAAACCTGCACCATTTCTGAAATGTGCTCATAAGTTAGCAGTGCTGTAGAACAGAAACAAATCAATGTTCCTACAGCCAACTGTGCTAGCGGGATGCTAAATGTGAGGTATTCTAGCACAGCCTTACTTAACGAGGAGTATTTTTAGTGTGTGTGGGTAATTAGTTATTAATAAGCAGCAAATTAGGAGTTTACTGAGGCAAAAGCCGTAGTTAATGGTTTGTTAATAGCGAGAATTGGACCTTAAAATAAAGTGTGACCGAATTTCCTTTATTTAAACAAATAATTCTTTAAATTCCAACACAAGCACGTTCATTTTAATGATTCAAAAGTTGCTTCCTAACAGGAATGACCCAGATTTTGTTTTAAACAAGTAGGCCCAAATTGTTTTACCCATGCTTTGCAATTGAAGCACAGTGTTAATCTGAAACCTGCACCATTTCTGAAATGTGCTCATAAGTTAGCAGTGCTGTAGAACAGAAACAAATCAATGTTCCTACAGCCAACTGTGCTAGCGGGATGCTAAATGTGAGGTATTCTAGCACAGCCTTACTTAACGAGGAGTATTTTTAGTGTGTGTGGGTAATTAGTTAGTGCAGCCCGGGCCTGGAGGTGGGCTTTATCCTGCCCAGATTTACAGAAGCGTTGCTAATCTTATTAAGAGCAGCCATGACAGATGCGCAGACTCAGTCTTCCCTTACGAAAAAAAGTGTGCTATTAGTATACTTCTTTTAAACTAAAAATAGGAAAGTATACTTTTAGTCTAAACTTGAAGTATACTACTTTTTGGCAAGGGATATGCTACCTGCGAGAGCGCCGATCAAAGAATCGCTGGCCATTCGTGTTGTTGGACTACTGCTGGCGGTGCTGTGGGACCACGGCCAACAACTGCCCCTCAACAGCAAGCTCCATGACACCTGGGTAAAGTCTGATTATTCCCCTCCTGAGGGGTGCACTGTGTCCCTGCAGCATAGTTCATTTATAACAGCAGCCATGTTTCTATAGGCCTTACTTTCAGACAACTTTCAATGTAAATCTGAAGATTTTCTGCAGAGATTTCTATTGTAAAAAAGTGACCATGTACAGGAATAGTTCAGGCCTCTACAACAATAGAGCATGTTAAATTAATAATACTACCAACACTAGAACAAACTGATGTATAGATGTTCTATAGAATATGGCTGGTGTTATACAGCTCAGCAGAGAAGTTAGGTTAGTAACATAACTCGGGATGCTTTGAAAACTATTGGTTGTGATCTTCCCACTATTGAAGAGATCTAGGCCTATGTCTGACGTTTGCAGAAAAAACTATCCTGTCTAACAATCCTGAAAGATCCCTAAATCCAGCCAGACAACTCTTTATGCCTCTTCCTTCAGACAGAAGCCTTATAACTAAGTCTACACGTTTTCTGAACAGCACTTATTGTGGGATTGTGCATGCTCTTAATTCCTCTGGTATCTGTGCATCTGCATTTCACTCCTTATGAGGACATGTATGTATAGTTGTATTTATGTATGTATTTTAATGTATGTCATTATTGTTGATGAGCTCGCCAAGCAAATTCCAAACAACTAGGTTGTTTGGCAATAAATAAGTAAATGTATAGATATTTCCCGAAAGCACTGAGTGTGGTTGTGTTTGTCGTCAGGCTGTTCTTCAGAACCTGTTGATGTGTATGCTGTGCTTCTTCTCTCTCTACTATCTTGTGGTCAGTCTCTGCATCGGCATTCTCAGGTGAGATTTTCCACGCTGAGCAGCATAACTTCCTCTCTCTCTCTCTGTCTGTGTTTCTGTGTGCGTCTGCCTCTTATGCGGTGACGTGTCTACTGACTTCCTGTAGTACAGAAAAAAAATAGTCTATGTCAGTATTTCTCAACACTTGTAATATTAGTCCCATGGACTGTTATATGCAAATCACTGCTGCTGTTCTCTATATGCATTGCATTCACAATTAATTCTCCTGTTCAACCCAAGAACAGTTTATCATGTTATTAATTAGAATATTGTTGAGCCTATGCAGGGTTTTTTTCTTTTCTTTGAATGTACGAGCAACGATTTTGGTACTGTGTTGGGTTCAGTGT